ACTGAGGCCATTACACATACAAACACAAACTATTTATCAGAACTCCATCCTCACCTCAAAATTACCAGTGTCAACACTGAAAATAGATTTTGCTCCTTCACTCTGTTTCACTGGTTCGCCCTCTTCCTTTAAATTTTGACTGAAACCTCTTTTTACTTCCTGATACTCCAAATTACTTTCTCCCTCCTCATTATTTAGCTCTGTAAAGCAGAGACAGTATAAAGGCAAAATCTATACTATACATTGAGTGGGGGAATCAATTAAAGAATAATGTGCATAAAAGACAGTTAAAATTACTAGAAAAATTAGTAGGCTCTAGAGTGACATGAAAAAATCATAACGATGCTTTCTACATGTGTTCACTTTCACAGAGAAGACCTCAAAACACCAACTTTTTACCAAACAAGTGTCAGACAGCTCCACCATTCTCCCAAATTTACAGAGTTAAACTGAAGCACACACTGGGAAAGCAATTTGGTTACAGTGTGCATCATCTGAATTGAGAGCAGAACCCAAGATGTATCATACTCTCTTGTCAGATTTCCGTCCTTCACCAATGCACAAGAGTCAAATAAGGCAGTGTCAAACCAGATCCTCCTCTTTAGAATGCACCTAGCATCAGTCCTTCTCTTTTAGTCCTCTGAGTGACAGCATCTCACTGTACTGCAAACATGCACCCCTTAAACTTCTGTTCCCCTTTCAGTTTTAAACCTTATGCTGTCATCTGCCTACTACTTACGTGTGATAAAACATGTTGTCTACACTAACCCTGATGTCAGTTTGAGCTGTTACTCCTCATCAGGGCTAGTTACACCATCTTGGCATGACAGTTTGGTTTAATTGCACAATTTGCCACCAGATTACTTCTGAAGGTAATTTATGCAGCTCTTTGCCTATTAATAATTGGATTATGTGCCTAAAGAAAAACATTCCATGTAGGTCTGAGGATGAGGATTGCTGCAGATCCAAACAGCTCTATCAGTAGTTCATAATTAATCTGTTTCTTAGAAGCTTGGCTGGTAGAAATGTGTCCCAAGAATGTTAGTATGAATGCTTGTTCTCAGCATTTAAGTAGTGGTCACTGCAGAGGTACAATTAACTTCACTGTAAATGGAACAGCTAAATCAGATGGTTTAGCTTCTTCCCCAGGTCCCTTTTGCTCTAAGCTGTGTTCAGTCAGAGAACTCTTTCTATTTGCTGGAAAATTAAACCATCCCAGTTCTGGTGGCCAGTAAATTGTGGAGTTAGGATAATTAAATAAGAGGCTGCATACTTTTCACATTAATAGTAGTTTAGATAAAGATTGCAATTATTCTTAACAATTACATGAATTGCTACTGTTATAATTATACATATATTTATGTTTATGACTTCACTGGGAAGGCTTGTAAACAGTTGTAAGAAATAGAAAGCCAAAGAGACAGTTCCATGGCACCAAGTATTGTGAAAACGGGATTTAAGTACAGCCAAAACAATCTCTTGGAAGTCAGTATCATCACCAGTAAGTCAGTTAAAGATTTGCAGAAGAGTCTGGGTTGCAAGCATCTGCCAAAGTTGGCAGGTTTTATCAGGCTTGGTAGAGCTAGAGCTTCACTGCAGAAAAGACTCATATTTACAAGGATTATAGTTTGGCACTCAGAGAATAGAAGTATCCTGTTTTGGACACAGTTCTGAAAGCTGCTCCTGAATTACCTAGATAATTTGTCTGTTATTGAAGTGTGTCCTGCAAAGGTCTTTGATCTGTGTTTGTTTTTCTGAAAGCTGAAGGACCTCGTTGTTAAGTTGAAACATACTCTTCAGCAGAGAGAACTGTTGCAGGCATCTGTGTAGTAACTTAAATTGATATTAGCAATAGTGGACAAAAAGAAAGGTCAAGATGTGTTGCAGAGTCCAAACCACTAGTCCTTACTGGAAGAGGTCTGTGTTTTGCAATTGGAATGGGAAAACAAGGTGATGTGGTTTTCTTCTGACATAAAAGATGATGCCCATGGTCAGTGAAGAGCCTCCCACTCCCACTTCAAGTCCTTAACATCTCATCAAAAGAGAAACTACTTTTATTTCAATCTTCCAGCCATTACATAGTTAATTCAGTCACTGAGGCAGGTAACTCAAAGTTCATTTCTAATGCTTTATATAAATAATTCCAAATAATTGAAGAACAGAGCATGTCAATTATTCTCACCCAAGAATCATGGCAAGTACAAATTAATTGCATTGTATAAATGAGTATACTAATTGATATAAAAAGACTTTGGCACTTCATAACATTTCAGCCTTCTTTGAAGACAAATTTCATTAAGTTTGGAGAAAGAAACCACCCTTACTTCAACTCCAACTCAGTTCTATCTTACACTCAGTCAGTACAAGTGGAAGATTGTGTAAGACTGATCATTAAACTGTGATAAGTAACTTTATTTGTTCCACATCAGTGTTGTAATAATTCCAAGTAGAAATTGTTACATGGGTTCTGAAAAATAAGAGAAAAATGTCCAAAAGTAAAATAACATGAAATACAAAACCAACTGAGAATGTCCTATATTCCTAAACATCTCTTGACTACTTGATTTGGGAATACTCAAGTTGTAAAGGTGATTTGAACCCTTCTGGATTCAACTGGCTGATAAATCTCTTTTTACCCTGGTGGTTGAATTCTGATATGAACAGGAAACAAAGAAAGGATAAGTTGGAAAATAAACAACAGAGGAATAAGGGGAATCACAAAGAAAAACAAGGACAGGAATTCAGGTTTTGGAACAAAATAGCTATTAGCAACTGAACAAGATGCATGAAGACATTTCAAAAGACAAATACCTGTTAGACTGGAATTAGATGTTCCTGCACCCCAGGAAGTTGTAGGACTTACATGAGTTCTCTCTTTTCAACACAGTATTATTAACCTCACCAAGTCTTGAATCAGACTCTGAAACCATGACATTTACCACTGTATTTGGTTTGGGTTTGTTGATTTTTTTTGTATTTTCTTGAATGTCTTCTGCTTAAACTTAGCTGGAGAGCAAGGTCTCTACAGCTATGCTGCCTGCGGGGCTGTCAATCCTGCAGTTAGCTGACTGGTGCTTAAACACTATCTGGCCAACAAACTGATGGCTTTTGAGCTGAGGTTCACCCATCCTTCCCTCACTAGAGACTCTTTTCTCAACCACAGAAACACAGTCCCCATGTCTTTGAAAGGCAAAGCTACTGTATTGAAACAAAACTCACTCTGAATCAAATGACCAGGAGCTTGATCTTTAAAAAGGACCTCAAGTATCACAAAAGTCATTATTAAATCCTAACACGTAGTGACACTACTGACATAACCGAGGTTAAAAGGGTGCTTTCTAATAGAGTATTTTCCTAACATATATTCTAAATAAGTTAATCCTCAACTTTACCATAAAATAATTGATCTGATTAAATCTGATTTCGTCTGAAAAACACAAGTGATGCAATTACAACTGTCAAAAGATCTGATAGCAATCTAGCCTTTTTCCTTGTTCATGTCCAATACTCATTGATTCCTCCTGGTCTTCTTTACTTGACTCTGCTCCAGCCACATCACTGTCATTCATCCTCTCACTTTGTACAGTGCAACTTCAAGCACTGAGCCTGGTTTTGAGGTCCCTAAGGTAAAATTCTCAAACTGCTCAAGCTTAAGGCACCCAGCAGTTGAGTAATTTGACTCTTCCCTGACTATTCATATATGCATCTAAATATTAGGAAGGCAAATCTGTAACGCAGCAGATAGACCCTGACTGAATTTCTGACTTCAATTGGTGCTAAGTCAAGGTTGATTTCACAGAATAAAATCAACCAAGCAACTGAAGAATATTTACACTTTTAGCAAGTACAGTCAAACACCATAACATAGGGGGACTACATGTCATGCTGGAAGATATCTGTGTCAGGGCTCTAAGTGACCACTATCAGCCCCTGACCAGCATCACCTGGGTCCCCATCATACCCACAACCTCTGCTCATTGGTCCAGGAGCCACATTTAAGCTCCTGCCAGGAGAGCCTGACCTTCTCTAAGGTATACCTGAGGTAGTCTTATGTTCACTGCTGTTTCCTGCTGGCCTGGATTGCTTGCTGGTCCTCCTGGATATGCTTTAGACCTATGCTGTAGGTAACTTGCCTCCTGTCCTGTCTCCCTAGATGGACCCTGGACTTTATATGGTAGCTCACCTTAGCTGGGACTGTTGATGGTGCCTGTCACCAGCCTAGAAGTGTTCAGATCCTGCACCCTGGTTGGTGAGGACACTGCCTCTCCCTAAGGTGCCATTGTTCCTGGCTCTTGCTGCTGCCTGGCAGTTAGCTCAATGACATGAAATTCCCACTTGTCTGGAGTTCATCTCAAGGCAAGACCTGAAATTAAAAGTGAAGCGTTGGTTGAATTAATGTGGCCTTATGAGTTCAAGTCAAGCTCTGCTGATACTGCACAGCTTCCCTTTATCTCTAAAACCTGAGCGTTTCCTTGAGGCAGGTCACTGTGTGGCAAAGCACTTGAGCTGGGCTCTGTTGTAACCTGGAGAGGAGGGCCAGGTCCTTGGAGGGGGTTGTGTCTACCCATTGCTCTCCTGGAAGCTTTTTATTATCCTTTTTTCTGAGTTGCATACAGAGGTATGCATTATCTTGAGCTAAGGTCTACCCACCTTTCCCTCAGGAGAGGACCTTCCATATAATTCACAGAATGACTGTCCAGGGCCCACTTTTAAAACTGAAAGTTGCTAAAAGGAAATGCTCTCTTAAGTGTAGGATACCGGTCTCTCAGAAACACTGACTGTTACGTGGTGGTTTTACCTCTCATAAAGCCAAGGTGTGATCTCTCTTAACTCCCTTCTTGCTTTGGCTGTCCTGAGGCCCCACCGAGGCTAATGGCTAAGGGCAGACACCTAAATTATCTCCTCAACGTGGGACCGATCGCTGAGGGGAAACCAAGCCCGAGGGAGAGACGCTGCGCGCTGCCTTTGAGGTGAGTCCCCGAGGGGACCTCAGCCCCTCTCCCTCCGTCCCCGAAGGGCGTGAAGGGCTCCGCGCCCTTCCTCACCTCAGGACGCGGGCGGCTCCCGCCTTGCGGCGACCCCTCACGGGAGAGGGGGGGCGGTGGCTCCCGCCCGCCGCCAGCGCAGCCCCCTGCCCGCCCGAGCTCCGCCCGCTCGCCGCCCCACCTCCCGCCCGGGTGCCGGAGGAGCCGAGGAGCCGGGCAGCCCGGCGGGTGAGCGCTGCACCATGAGCGCCGAGTGCAGCAGCTACCTCAACGCCGACAAGGTGCTGGTGAGCGGGTTCAGCTGCCCGCGGACGGGCGGCGACGCCAGCGCTGTGTACTGCTGCGGCTTCCAGGACGTCAAGTACTGCTGCGATGACCCGCACAGCTTCTTCCCCTACGAGCACAGCTACATGTGGTGGCTCAGGTAGGGTGCTGCCCGGTCCCTCATGGCGGGTGGTGTGGAGGCTCGACGGCCCCGGGGGGTGGGAGACCTGAGGTCGCCCGAGCTTGCCTGAGGGTTTGTTTCTGAGAGACTTGTAGCCTTTGTCCCGCTGAGAGTAGCGGCGGAGCTGCAGCTGCTGCCGAGAAAGAGTTCTGCTTGTGGCAGGGTGGTTTCTGACGGAAAGAACGTGTGGTTTTGGTAAGGAAGCGCTCAGTGCCCGTGTACAGAGCATCCCTCCGACTTTTCGGTGTGAGGTGAGCTGCTGGCTCGGGGCCTGAGCGTGTAAGATGCTGTGTGAATAAAGTTCCCGATGACTTCAGCTACTTTTCTGTGTGTTTAAGGTCAAGCACTACATAACTTTCATCTTGGAAAGTGGCAGATAATCAGACTTGTGCTCTTCTGGGTCCATCTATGTATCCCAGTTCATCTCCAGCAGTGGCAGAGCTGCACACACCCAGCCTGACTGCTCTCTGTGCCCCATTCCTCTCAGGCTCTTCAGCGTCCACATGTCAGGGTGTTTGTACACTTCTGCATAATGATTCCGCTGTCTCTTTATGGACTTATCTAATGATTTTGTCTAACCCCTTTCTGGACTTGCTTCTGCTGCCTACTTCTGCAGGTCTGGTGGCAGCACTCACTACCTGCTTTTTGAAGATACATCCTTTACTCTGTTTTTTACTGTTTCCTACTATTTTTCTGGAGTACCTTCTAGCATTTGTATTGTGAGATTTCATGAACAGCAATTGCATGTTCTGTTTCTGCACAACGTTCAAAATTTTGTTTGGGGTATCAGTTTGGAGCGTTCATCCCTCCAAATTGAACAATCTTAATCCTTTGGAGTTACCATTAAGGCAGATGCTATGTCGCACTGATAATTTTAGTTGCCTCTCATCCGTTTTGAGCTCCACAGTGCTGCTCTCAGATGGACAATCTGGAGCTGCCTACTAAAGGGGTGGGTGTAGCAAGGTTTTGCTACAGGGGCAAAATGCTGCCTTTAATCCTGCTCTCAAAATCCTTTTTGTTGGTGGCCAGCGCTTTCATGTCTTTGCCTGCTGGTGCACATTGAGTGTGATTTCAGTGAGCTATCACTGATGTCTCTCAAACTTTTGCTGAGTTCAGAATGGCTAGATCCAAGTTCACTGTCCTGTAGGCTTGGTTTATGTTTGGTTGTACATTACATTATGTACACTGAAGTTCATCTGCATCACTTTTGCCTGCTCACTCAGTTTTCTGTAAGTCTTGTAGCATTTGATTGCTTGCAGGGGCTTAGGATCATCAGAAACTCAGGTTTCATTGTTCTCCAGGTCATTGATGAAGACACTGAAGAAAGTCTCAGAACTGATCTCTGAAAGCTTTTCTTTATGTTCAAGACAATTCAGCTGTGTGCTTCATACTTTAAAGCAGTCTTGAATCTGTAACAAAACCTTTTCCTAATCCTGCATCAGTTCAATCTTTTTAGACCCACTTTCAGTGTGGGGATTTTCCAAAGGCTTTTTGAAAAAATCTGTCTGCTGGGTTCCTTTATCCATCTGCTTGTCGACACGTCGTGGACTCCAGCAGGTTATCAAGGCAGCATTTTCCACTTGTAGTAATACTGACTCTATAATGAAAGATTTTGCCAGGAAGCAGTGAGTGCCAGCAGCTTCCTGAGAGCAGAGTGTGGTAATAAGATGGATGGGGGTAGTGGCTTCATTGTCAAAGGACTGGTTTCTTGTATACAGGTGGGGTGATTCTGAGACAGACCTGGGAATCATAGCTTGGAGGTAAAAGTCAGGGTCAGATACAACCCAGATGTGCTCAGTGCCCTGTTGTAACAGCCCTGATGCTGTGTTTATCTCTTGGCTTAATGGTATTATTCCTTTTTTTTACAGACCTTTCTGTCTTGCCAAGGGTGGAAATCAGATTTACTAGTCTGTAGTTCCTGGGTTCCCCTCTAGAACCCTGTTTTAGGTTTGAGTTATGCTCCCAAGCTACCAGTCCTCTGACAGTGTCCTTGCTGTAATGATGGGTTGCCTTGGGCAGCAGTTTTTCACTTTCACATGTGAATTCCTTCAGGGCTCTTGGGTAAATGCTGTTGAGTACTGTAGGCTTGCTTTCATTTGATTAGTCTTATCTACTATTTAATGTATAGTTATTTAAAGCCTGGTTAAAGTAGTCAGCTGAATGTGGGAAATCTCCCAAGCCATCCACAGCTGTGACTGGCACAGAATTACTCAGCTTCTCTGATGTGAGAAGATATCCCTGAGAGTCCTTTTTTACACTTTTCTCATTAAACAGTATCCATACTGTTTTAATGTTACATGATCTTTTTGCACGGTCTTGGGCTATTTTGGTCACAGGAAGCCTTCCCAAAATGGCAGAACTACTGAAAGATTAAGTTAGTTTTACTCTTGCATCTGGATGAGATGTTGCAGTGAAGACTGTTAAAGCTTCATCTTTTCAGAAGGTACCTCAAAGAACTGAATCCTATGAGAGGCTTTAGTGAAGCATCTCTGAAGGATCTTCCTTTACAAAGATTTTCTGGGGTCTGAGAAGTGTGACTACTTGGCCTATACCTAGGCCATAAATTTGAAGACTTAAGGATTTGTATTTTTTTTTTCTCTCTGTGATGGCCTTAAGCTACTGAAAGGATCTGAGGAAACTGCAATTGATAGGGTTTTGGTTGTGCTTAACTTCTGCCATAACTGTGAAGAGATGAATAAATACAATTTACACATCTAAGCAAAATTACAGAAGGGTTTTCCAGTAACAAATCACAAAGTTTAGTTGCTAACACACTGGAAACCCTATGGTATTGCAGCACTTTGGAAACTGGATACATTTGTACATGATAGTTCCCTTAGGAGTTTAAGGAAAACATAAAAAACCCACTGTAACAACAATATATTAAAGTAGTACTTCAGGTGCTTCTTATAGCCTTTGAGGACATGCTTTTAAGACTTGAAACCCTTAAGACTTAAAACTATTCAAGAGTTAGCCAAACCAACCAAGGTAAGTCTGGAGATTGAATGTACTGAAGAAGGGAAAGGAGCTGGAAGCTCTGATGGGGTTGCAAGATTTGCTTTACTCCAGAACTTTAAGTTTCTCATTCTAAATCTGTCTTTGCTTGACTTGCCACTGATTTGAAAGCAGCGAATGAACCACGAAGTGGTTGGTGGCATCTCAGGGATTATTTCTGTTTGGTGACACACCATGCAGGATTTGAGGAAACTGTTGCCTATTTCTCTTGTGTTTTTCCTGCTGTGGGAGATGTGTTGCCAGACCACTTAGCAGCCAGCTCTGACGGAAGCAGTTCATGCAATAACCAGCAGCCTAGGCAACCTGAAGCAATAGTTGCCTATGCTATTTTTTTTGTCACCAAATCACTGCTGCCTGTACTATGTTCAGAGCTGTATACTGCACTATTTCTTAGCAAAACGGAATCATCTTTCCCCTTCCACTCCTGCAAAAACTGCAGTATTTGACAAGTGCATCTTAATACCTGCTGTATTAGGAGCCGCTGGACAATCATAAATGACCTTTGAGCAACTCTGACACCTTTCGTATTATCCTCTGAATTTATTGTCTGTGATCTATTAATTTCTCATGCCTTTTTTGTTGATACTTAAACAGTGTAGGTTTTGGGTTTGTTTTGGTTTTTGCCAAGATTCCTTTCCCGCATTTCTTGTAAAGCTGATATCAGCAAAGAAGAGTGAAGATTATTTTTTCTCTCTCTTATAGCAGTCAAAAGCCCATGGAACAGGGAAGGGAACATTAGGAAAAGTCAGGGGTGTACAGAATTCATAGACTCATAGAATCAGCTAGGTTGGAAAAGACCTTTAATATCATCAAGCTCAATCAGAAGGTTGTGTAGCTTTTGAAACCACAAAACACAGGTGCTGTAAAACCCTAGTGAGCAGAACACTGAACAGAGCCATGTGCTGAGCGTGCACATGCAGTTATCATGACATGTATTTATACTCCAGAGCTGAGTGGAGGGGGAGGAATGCTGGACATGCGGTATTTGTACTGCTCTGTGATGCAGTTAGGTTCAGTCAGCACCTTTTTTGTTTCTCATTAGTATGAAATATTTTAGAATCATTTTGTCACTGTTAAGTTTTAGTTTGCAAATTTCATGGCTTCTTTCAGTATCAAATACAGTTATAGTATCTGTTTCAAATCTGTACTTTTTATAAGTTTCATGTCATATTACGTACTCTGTTAAAACTCCAGCAGACCGAGTGCAGATTTTATTCAAAGTGCTTTACTAATGAATACTCATAGAACCATGGTGACTCGATGCTGTAGCCTAGCTTTGCTGTGCAGATCTCCAGAAGTCTGTTTTATCTCTCCCAAATAGCAAGTCTTTTGTTCCTGTATGCACATTCCTCCAGTCTCCTGGGAATATTTATCTGTTTGCTTTGCAAATACCATGTACAACATGTCGTTGCAACAGTGGCATTAGGAACATCTGATTCATGTGGATCCAGGTGACTTATGAGCATCCTTCCAATGTATCAGTGGACATACTGCATCTGCTTAGTGATATTAAATTTTTCTTAGCTGTTGTTGGCGTGAATAGACTAATTTATGGACTAAAAGTAACTGTAGGTGTGTGATGCTGAGCATCCACTGACAGAAATGTCAATGACCAGCATCTCTCTAGACAGCAGCCTAGGGAGTCTGCTGATGAAGTGGAATCTCTCTGCTCAGTAAAGCCTTTCGCTGTGCAGAGATGTGTGGCAGTGCTGCCAGTGTGTGTGTGTTGTTGGGGCACTCGGTGCAGTAGGAACATCAGTGAAGTGTGTGGTATGACTATTGTAGAAGATTAACTGGGGGGGTTCTGTTCAGTCTGTGTATCTTCTATCAAGCATCACTCATGTTTGGAAAGCTGTGTAAATACTGCCAGGGTTACCCCGGCCCGCCCTTGCTGTTTTTATGTTAGATCACCATTTTGGTGGTGGATGAGAAGCTTGTTAATGCCAGTTTTTGTTAATGAGACCACAGCTGGGGGCAAAAGTAACTTTTTAGTTTGCTTGTTTAATGCCACACCCTGAAGCCTGTGAATGCTGAGTGGCCTTTAAACACCTAGTGTTTAAGGTAAAGATGGGAAGATGATAAAACATTTTCAGCAGGGACATTCCTAGATGGATATGCAGCACCATAGTAACTGCTGTAGAATCTAGAGGACATGCTGAAGTGCTGTCTTTATTTTCAGAGGAAAGTGGTCATTAAAATGATCAAAGAACATACTTATTTTGGTATTTTGCTTCTGATACCAGTTTTAACCTTTTTTTTGAAAAGAAAAGGTTATGTTCTGACTGAGAAACTTGAGTATTCAGAGCTGTGGAAGGCATACTAAATGTCTCTAAATTAAGCAACAGCCCTCCACCTCCGAACTTTAACCCCAAATCAACCTTAAAGGACTTGCTAATATATTTTAAGAGGTTGAGGGCCTCAGCATGTTGACAACAATCTGGTGTTGAAATGTGATGTTTAAAACAGTAAGTACAAACTGAATCTTAATTTCCAATTGATTTAGGAAGTGGAATCTGGGGTGTATTTGTTTTTGTGATGCTGATCTCCATGTTTTGGGTGATCTTTTCACATTGCTGCCGGAGCATGACAAATACTTAGTGGCATATAACCGATTATAAGTCCTTGAGCTGTACTAGGAAATAATGTCGAGTTCTTCAGGAACTGCTTTTCTTACCTTTGGCATTTGTAACTCACAAAGCATCTTACACAAGCTCTGTAGTAATACGGAAGATGTGTGTGCTATACAGTGCAGAACTGTATTGTATTCTACAACTGCATGGAGGAGATGCCCAAACAAAAACATATAATCATTAATATGTACTTAAACTATTCAGCTTTAGAACAGCTGACTCTGCTTAATGTTTGGATAATGGTGGGCAACTTCTTTTGTCCTGAACTGCAGACTGTTATTTAAATGGAATCTTAAAATAGAGCTAGTACAGACATGACAAAAAAAGCACAAGTACCTGTTTCTGAAGAGCCTTTGGGTTTCTATTACTTCCTCAAATAGATTCAGCTATGGAGATGATTCTTGGTTCAGTGGCTGCTCACCTCAGCCTCCTGTAGTGTATTCCTTACGTTTTGTCTATTTGGGTCAAGGTGTTCGAAGTGAAAATGCATGAGTAAGTCCAGAACCTAGATGACATCTCTGACTGCAAGCTTATATTCAATTCCATATTGAGCAGAATACTGCTTGCCTGTAAGTTTTGTTTGAGAAAAAAAAAATGAGGAAAAACTTGCTTAATATATGCATATATGCACAAACATATAAGAACACTCTAGTTCATGCAGATGATAAATACATGGAAGATCTGTGTAAGGGTAAAGTTATTGTTTCAAGAACCAGTCATTTTGCTCATAACAAATCATTTTAGTTATGCAAGGAGCTAAATGTTGCACAAACTTCATTAATGGATCGGACCAGTAACTGATGAGATTTGTATCTTAAAGTCATCCTGATATCTGCTCATCTTAAGAGTTTCTCCTGTAGACATGTCTGTCTACTGGTGTTACGGGAGCTTGGAGAGAAGCTTTGCAGTAGCTTGAATGTAAAATTCATGAAAACATTCCAGGGCACAGTTCTTCTCATATCCCTATAAGGCCATAGTAGAATTGACTTCTCCCCGATAGTGATTCTATATAAAGGCATTTTTATCACTAGAGGATGGAGTTTGTAGAATTTAAGACATTCATCTCTCTTCTGTCCTTTTTATATCTGTCAAAACTGTAAATATACCAGAATCGTAATATAAGGATTTTCAGTCCTTGGATTCTTCTTCATCTGTGACCAAAAGACTGCTGTTTAATTTCACCAGAAATCAGCGTCTTTGGCATAGGCTGTGGAATAGAGGACTGGAACACTGTAGGTGTCAAATGGCCCAGGAGAGGTTGGCAAATGATAGCTACGCTATATTGCAGTCAGTTCCTTATTTCATTATGAAAATTTTATAGTAGGAAAAGAAGGGTTGGAAATAGGGAAACTACTAAAGAGATACCATCTCACTGAATGTTTATGGAAAATTATAAAGTAGCTTCTATCCTGCAGAAGTAGTATCTTCATAAAATCTACATATACAGATATATGTTTGGCCTCCTGAATAATTAAGGTCCTGTGTAAATTAATTAATCTTTAGTCTTCTTTTTACCCTGACAAGGATCATGGAAGAACTTCTCCAGTCTTGTTTGGTGGCTTATTGCATGCCTATCATGAAGGCACAACAGTGATCACAGTACTGCACCCTGACAGGCACAACAGTGATCACAGTAGTCTGACAAACATGCACTTTGCTTAAAGTGCTCTAACAGGCTCTTCTGGCAATAAAAATGACCTTTCACACTTAAAATATACAGAACTGAACAATCCCTCTTTGTGTGTGCATGTGATATAATACCATGCTTATCTGGGAATATACACTGCATTTTCACTCTGTTTTGAAGTTATTTCTGGCATAAACACAGTTTAAATCAGCCTTGGTGATAAGAGGAAATGTCACCAAGGGCCAGATGTCCAACTGCTGTGTAATGGCATTGATCCTTCCAAGGGCAATGAAATAATTCCAATTTATGCAACTTAAGTATTGCGCTCTGAACTTCTGAGTATAGTAAAATACATAGTCACTCCCCTGCCTGAGTACAAGGAACCTCCAGATATGATCCTGACCACTGTTTTAAAGGGTATCCCAGGCTGTTTGTGCACTTAATTTGTTTGTTTTTCCTCTCTTCTCAGTGTTGGAGCACTTGTGGGCCTGTCGATAGCAGCAGTGGTCCTCTTTGCTTTTATCATCACTGTGTGTGTTCTCTGTTATTTGTTTATCAGCACGAAGCCACGCAGCAAACTGGATACTGGTTTAAGCTTACAGATGGCAGGTAAGACCAGTTGTTATTGACATACATGATTTGCTGCAGAGATAAAACCTTATTCTGTGTTTAAACGGAATCCAGCAGTGTGTATTTCTCTTGGGGACCTCAAGATGTAGACAAGCTATCCTGCTGTTTTACCTTCTGAATGCAATGTATACCAAATGCAAATAAAAAACATCAACACAAGGTCAGTGTATTTATTTAGTAGTGGGAAGAGTAAAGCTTTGCAATACTAAGTAAGGGTGCAACAAATAAGTCCCTTTATTAGAACAAGGTCTAATAAGTTAGTTGCTGTCAGGAGTACATAAACATACAGTAGTGATTTCATTCTAGGAATAAGAATCTCAAAAGAGATTTTAAGTGTATTTTCTTGTGACAGGGAGAGATCATTCTTTTTTCTTTCTGACATAGGATCCAGTCCAAATCTAAGACTCTTTGCTTCAGTCCCAGTAATCCATACCTTTGTGCCCAAACTACATTGGCAGACACCAGCAGGAGCAGTGCATGTAGCCTGCACTGATGTGGGAAAACCTGTGCTGCTGCTATATTTCACTGCCTTTGTGGAATCTGACTGCAAGTTTTGATGGCAAAAAGCTTCACCCTTTGTCTTGGACTTCCTGAATGTTTAAAAGTGGGTTCCCACATCCACTAAAGCTGTAGGAAGTAAAGAGAATGTTGTACTTAATTAGGCCTTGGAAGTTGAAAAAGGGGAATAATGACCAATGAGTTACTGTAATTATAGCCTATTATACAGCAGCAGGTCCTCTCCCCAGTTCTAGTTAACACAGTCCACTTCATACCAAACTTCCTGTGTCTTGTTCTCCAAAGAATGCAGGCTTCAGTCTAAAAGTGTTTTGCAGGACCATCAGGAAATGCAATGCCTTCCTTTGGAGCTGTATAAGCTAAGCAAGCTGCTGAAGTGGAAGTCACACATTCAGCAAACTGCTACTAATCTGCAAATTGAAAACTTCACACCATCCTGGAGAGAGTAGAAATCAGACCTGCTACCTAGAGCAACCTAAATAAACTTTTGGGTGGGGTGAGCAAAATGCCTAGTGACATTTTACAAGATGGTTATATGCTTTTGAACATGTTGCTGTTTAACTTCTTCTCTCAGGTTTTCCTGTTATGGCATCGGCTGTTGATCCATTGCCAGGACAGTAGTGCTGTTTTTCTCATGCTTTGTATTTTTATGCCAGACATGTTTGGTGTATAAGGAGCTGGAAGGAGGCAGGTGCTCGTGCACCGCTGCAGCCAAGTGATTTCGTCCTTCTCTACAGACTCGAACCCTGCTGCAGAGCCACATCCTGCTAGGGCATTAGAGATTATTCCTTTCTTCCTCCCATGAGGTGAACAACATCCCAAGCTTCCCCACTGATGACCCAGCATTTGTGTAGGCATCCTGTCTCTCATGATTCCAGGTGTTATGACTCCAGGAAGCTGAGAGATCTTTGCTTTTTCCAAAACCTGTGTTGTTTTGAGCTTTAGTCAGCCTGCATTGCTTTGTATTTAAACACTGTTTTGACTTTGCTCTCATCCCGTGTTCTTTCACTTTTATTATTCTGCTTCTTTGGCTGCTCTGAATGACAGTTATTTTACATCTAAATTCTGGTAGCTTTAGCTGTTGATGAGGTGGGTTGCCAGAAATTGAAAGCCAGTCACTTTGCCAGGGTTGAGAAATCTTGAAAATGTTAAAGGATTTCACTGACAAGCCAGAGTGCTTCCCTTCATCATACTGGGTTTTCTTTAGCATGGTAGTCATGCAAGGGCTGAGTGTCTTACAGGATGACTGGTTAGCTGCTTTCAGGCCTGGGGAACAATAAAAGCAGCCTTTTTTTTTCTTCTTTCAGTTCTTCTGAGATTTGAGCATAATCATATATAGGCAATAAAAATGAATTAAACTGAAAGAGTTTTCAGAAGCTGCAGAAAATGTTAGGCCTGAGGACCATATATTTTAACTGTGAACTCTGCTCAGCCCTGCTTTTTCTGGGCTAACATAATCTGCTGTTCAGACAAAAGCTGCATCACACATCAGGTGTTGTGCATCATCTGTCCCCTTGGAGCATTCAGAGAGCACTCATTCATAAAAGCAATATTTTTTATTATATTCAATTTCACTGATAATACATCAGCTCAGTTGGAGCTTTGTATTTCATTAAACATAAAATTGATTATTGTATGCCTTTCCTCCTTCATGCAATAGTCAAAGTTGGTCATTGTTCCGTGGGCTCATCCAAGATCTCCTAAATATAGAAGTAGAATTGCTGACTTTTTTACAGAAGTGACTTCAAGATTGATCATGAATCTACCGATAGAGTGGATGTGCAGCCTTTGTTAAAGCTTCTGAGTTCAAAAAGTACATTGCCTATTATTTGCCTCTATTTAGTCTTGAACAAATGGTCTTCGGTGGCATCAACACAGATATTATATATGGGGTTTCTGAGTTAGCTAAGCATGTTGTTAGCCCTAGTAAATATTAGCATTTTAATCTGACTTGAATTTCAGGAAAAATGAGCTCAGTCACTGGTGTAGACTACTTAATGTTAATAGTTCTACTCATTTCTATTTCTAGTAGCATAGTGTAGAGTTGATCCCTTATGTGCAAGACTGTCCAGGCAAATGAGAAGATCCCATATCTCAAGGACTTTACAGTCTAGTTTCTTAACAGATCTACTATTTCTCAATAAAAAGCAGCAACATACTTTATGTATTGAAACAAAATCCTCTCCTTTATAGGCCACATCTCAGCCCTTTTATACATTGTTTATTTATTGTTTGCACTCTGCTTTAGGGTGTGAGGTTCACCTAGGGTTTGGCTTGTGAGTTATAATGGTCTGCCTTTCTAAAGTGTCAAAGTACTTCAGTTTTAACTCTATCCTCACAGCTACCTTTCTGAAGTAGGGAGAAGCTGTTAGCCCCATCTCAACAGAGACATAACTGCAGGGAAGTGTCATATTTTTAATGCTTTGTGTGTCAGTTCAGACATTAATGTCCAGTGGAATTTTCAAAAGGCATCACTAACCAGAAGCCCTTTGTCCTTTTGCTTATGATATGTCAAGACTAGCTTGACACTGAAATTTTGTGGTACAGAGAATTGAGCCATGCTTTTTGAGACCAAGGGGAGTATTCAAATCATTGGAGCATACTTTTTCTTAGTGAACTCGCTTTTTAGTCATAAAAGTTGCTCAGTGAGCTCTTTCTGAGAGAAAGGATTTTTTCATTGTTTCTCCCATTTGAAGGCTAGAGACCTATAAAAGTGTTTCTTGGTAAACAAAAGCCCCAAAGAAATCCAAGCCCTGAGAATGCAAACTTTATGGATTTTCCCAAGGCAAAAGGGAATTTGGTCATCCACTTTGTCCTCCTAATCAAAAAGCTTCTCTTTATGCAAAAGGTTTATCCGCTTTAAAAGGTAGGGAACTAGGGAGTTGCAAGATTGCAAGTGTTTTGTTAAGGCTGAGTGAACGATGCTAGAGCATCTAGGGGAGATGAGGACTGCATCAAGTTGGCATAATTGGCAGGAGAGGAGAGATAAGCAAGCAGAAAAGGAAGAATCTAGAGGCATATCTGCTGCTCAGCTCTGGGAAAAGATGCACATGTGCTTCTCTGGACCACGCAGCTGATGGGAGAGGAGTGGTCACCTCTGCTGGCCCCTTAGAATGGGTTTTGCTGCCAGAGGTAAAAAGGCAGATAGAGACTTCCCTCCTTGGTGACCCAAACAGTTTGTAAATGCATTTTCTGAGTTGTCCCTGTGTTTCAGCCAGAATTAGTCCAGGAGGACCTTTGGGGCGAGGTGTCCTATACCACTGCGAAGTGAGAATAGCAAATTAGATTTTGTGATGGTAACTAACATTTTCCTTTAAAGCTTAACACAAGAAGACCTCTCTAATGCATTCGGAGTCAGACAGCAGGGACCTTTGGGTTGGAGTGTGAAGAGAACTGTGGCCTTTTAAATTACTCATAAGTGCTGGGGAAAAATCTTCTTTAATAGAAGAGATTAATTCTGTGTTCTTACACAGCAATGACATCATAGTATGCAAAAGTTCATGGTTTCATTTCATAAGGAAAAACTCAGCTCAAAAAATAGCCAGATGACCTTCCTGTCCCTATTTCTCTCCTTAATTATGATTCCTGGCGGGACACTCTTCAAATATACAAAACATTCAGATATTTTGCTGAAAAAGCACTGAACTCTCACATTCTCCTGCTTAGCTCTGTAGTTATCTGACTGTCGGTTCTGAAACCAGAGCTGCTGTCTGAATTCAGTGACACCGTGTTTGTGTTTTGGATTATGCATCGATAGCTTTGCTTTCTAGGCTTATCAGTAATTTCCTCTATGTGGTCTTATTGCAGCTGGCCTTAAATTTTCCCTAGTTAGGCCACCTTTTTCTTTGCTAGCCATCTGCTGCAGGTACTTGTATATGGGGAAAATCAGCCAAATGAGCTCAACTTTTAGAAGAAAATAAATCCAAGCACACACCCCCCCCCCCCCCCCCCCCCCCCCCCAAGATTATTTCTTGTCCTTTAGGAAATAAGGAACTTTCCTATTTTGGAGCTGGGAATTCAAATTTAGTGGAAGGGTAGCATTAGCTCGAAGTTCTATCGCTAGGAAAGATTAGATCTGGAAATGTTTAAATTGGACTCATTAGCTTTTACATTTCCTAAACTTTCTTGTAACAGTGAGGCTTTCGCAGCTCATCGAGTCAGGTTTTATGCTGCAAAGATACCCATAGATGCTGTAAGCTGGTTTAGATACGAAATGTAGACAGAGCTCAAAACCAGTCTTCCTTCCTCTTATAGCTGATTAGGAATTTTATAGTTTTGCTTTTTGGGTTTCTTTTGATCACAGCTGAACTAACTCACTGAAAAGACTTGGTTTCAACTAAGATCTTGGCTTAAATATTATTTTAGAGTTTTTGAACTGTCAAACTATCAAATTCCAAACTGCAGGTTTTTTCAATTCAAACAAAATAAAATGTAGCTTTCAAAACCCCTCAAAATGAAGTAATTCCTTTGCCTAATTTGCTTGGTTCCTTTTTATTTTTTATGTGAAAATACTAAAATTCTCAACTATTTAGCACTTTTGGTTACAGGAACTTTTTTTAATCCCTTGCCCACAAGCTTTCTTGGACAGAAGTACCCTGCCTAGTTATGCTTCTCTCTCCTCTTTCTTTCTCTTTAATCTCTGTGTTGCCCAAGCAGTGGGAAACTGGAAAATGAGGTCAAACAGTGCTGGACTTGAGGCTAATGGGAAATATGGGGAGCCAGGCATGGGGAGAAAACTGATGAGATCCATAAGGAGACTTAGATGAGAAGGTGAAGCAAGGAGACGTTTTGGAGCCAGTAGATAAAGAAGAAATTTCAAGGGCCTGGGCACACCTGGGAAGGTGTGGAAGAAGGATGGGGCTAATGGAGTTGAGAGCAGCACCAGCAGGAAAGCAGATGTCTGTCAGTGGCCTGGTAGAAGGTTAATGAACTGTTACTTATTTTAACCTTTGAAGTTGTGCTCTGAAAACCAACACTCAACTACTACTGAGCTTCAAAGTCCAACACTGAAAAGATGGGAGATGCCAGAATTTAACTTTTCCTGGACAACAGGTGAAATGCCTAATTAAAAATTGCTTTATTTGCAATTTTTCCCTTTAATCTTTCTAAAACCAAGGGTTACACTTCTTTCATGCCAAGATAAATTGTGAGCCTCCCCCCATGCAGTGCTTTGGGGTCATTGGGTGGAAGGTGCAGTGAAAGCAATAGTGACTGATCACATTTGGAGCAGGATGAATGTTTGAGATTTCTGATCTATTTTCTTGAATACAGGAAGTTTTCTGCCTTTCCTTTAAGGAGACACTCTGATATCCTGCTATAAGTCCTTCATATACCACAGTACTGTACCTTACGTTAATTTTCATCTTAATGTTTATTCCTTTTTAACACAAGTTATTAATTGCAGCCTCACAGAGGCTTAGGAACAGAAAGTAGAATAGCTCTAGTTTATCCCATCCTCTAAAAACTGTAGAGGAAGATTCCAGGAACTGTGTTTTCTCTGGTACATCTGTATGTTACTACACAACTGAAGGAAGAATAATGCTGTTAGTTTTATTAAAAATGCTTTTGTTTTACAGACAGTGAGACCAGAGGGAGTTCAATATGTTAAAAAAGAAACAGAGGCACTGGATGGATTCTACCAGTGGTGTCATGAAAATAGGTACAGTGAGAACATTTATTTTTCCTCTTACTCTATTGTATTTGTATACCCTCTGATTTGTTTTATATGTGATGATGCAGATATGATAAGCAGTTTTCAAAATGCCATGAACCTTTATGTGGGTTTTTAGGTTTCTGAAAAGCACTAGCAAACTGCCTATGAGTTGAGTCCTTATATATGATTCTATATCATACAGTCCTTATACATTGCCCTGATGCTGACCTTGCACAGGAGTTTCTGCAGAGACTTGAACACGGTCCTTCCACAGAGAAATCTCTTCTTACTGATTTACTAGTACATGAATATTCCATTGTGGCTGTGTGCACAAGAGATTACATTCCCCTTATGCTGCCTTTGGCCTTTTCCTGATGCTGTCCTGGATGTACCAGAGCATATTAAGGAGGCAGCCCTCGTAACTTATCATTTAAAACAAATTGTTCAGTGATGAACTGCTAGAAAGGCTCCTGTGTGACCAAGGGTAAAAGCAGTGAACTGTCTGGTGGGTTGTTTAGGTTAGCATCCCTTGATTCCTGGGGATGCTATCTACAAGTGCTGAGTCAAGTCTGATAAAGAACTGAAGAGTATTATCTTGCAAAAAGTGAAGTTTCATATACTGACTTGATTTTTGTGCTGAAATCATGTTTGAAGATCAAACTGCCTATGGCACAGACCATGCAAAATAGTATTTAAAATGTATGCCAGTACAGGTGACTTCTACTTCAGACTTAAGAGGAATTTATGAATAATGCAAAAGATTTCAGATGGAATGAAACGTGCATTTTACTTTCTGTAGGGGGGGAAAGCTCATGGCTAAACAGCCACAGAATGTGAGAATAGCTGTACATCAGCAATGTCTGTCACAGGGGAAACAAAAATAAGTGGGCTTGTTTGCTCAGCAGCTGTTAGATGAACAGGAAAGTAAACGTGCCAGAGTTCCTTGCTTCGTGTCTTTTCTCTTGTACCCTTAAAAAGAAAGTCACCCTGTGCAATGTAAGTGCAAATGCGTCTTTCTCAAGCACTCTTTATTATCAGTATAATAGGTTGGTTTGGGCTGCTTGTCCTCACGCAAATACTTCAGTGTAACAAAAACTCGTTTTGAAACTTCCATCTCCACACTTATTTTTTTCTTACTGCTGTTGCAAATGAAACTGCTTGTGGAACTAAAATGCCACAGGAAGACTAAAAAGGATCCTGCAGTCAGAAAGCCGTCTGTGGTGAGAAAATCCACAAATATCTGAGGCAGGCGCTAGGTGCTGAGCTGAGACCTCAGTTCAGGTCTGAATGTGACATTGCTTTCTCAAGGCCATGAGCCTTTCATTTCCTCATGCTTCAGCTTGCCTGTCTTCCACCATGTCATAGAGACTAATGTTTATGGAGTGCCCTGAAGTGTAGCCTGCACTATTGCTTGCAGGGAGCGAATTGCAAGGCCAGTTGCAGAGGATTTTATTGTAGGGGTTTCAATGCGCATAATCCATAAGGACCAAAAAAATGAGAAGCTTGTTTTCGTGGATGAATTATCCAATTATTTTTTTGTTGGCAAAATGAAGCTGGTATCGTCATGAAGACTCAAAATACTTGAGACTTTTTGCGCTAGAATCAGGAAAACTATGCCCTTAGCCTGTGAGCCTTTTTGCTTGCAGATCAAGAATGGAACAGCTGGGAACTTTCTGTGAAAATGAAATGGGAGGCAAAGATCTTTTCTGAACTTCAACAGATTATCCCATAAAGTGTTGGTAGAAATTCCACGCCTCTACCTGTTTTCTATCCTCTGCTTTTCATGTAGTCTGCTTGTTGAAGATTTCATGCCCTCACCTGTTACGGAGAGCCCCACAGTGCAGTGATAAGGCAGAGAGTCCACCAGTGGCTGTAAGCCTTTCACTGCTGTGAGAAAGCTCCATGTGGCAATTAGATTTGATTTAGCATGCGTACTTCCTCTGCCAAATTCACAGGGTTTTAATGAGGAAGAGGACCCCCTACACCCTTGCAGCTGATGTAGCTCAGCACACAATTCAAGCCTGTTTGCGTGATCTTTTTTTCCAGCAAAAGGGCAAATGCAACTCTTAGCTTTGAAAAGGGAAAATAGAGGAAGGAGGCAGTTGGAGACATCGCTTCTAACTTGGAGTGGTAATATATCAAATTATTAAACAATCGAGTTACGCATAAAGAAAAATCTAACACAGATCTCATGAAGGCAAATCATGACAAACCAGTCTAATTTCTCTCTTTGTCAAGGTAATTTTGCCTGTCAGAGGAGTGGGAACAAGTGGTTCATAAAGACTGCAGGTCCTTATGAAAAAGCAGTCAAAGACAAGTTTTCTGTGGCTCATTCTCAAACACATTTTCAGAGGGAAGGATGCCTCAGTACTCCATCCCAGTTGAGTAGTAAGAGCTTGACTGAAGGACTAAAGAGCATATGTATAAAATTTATGATGGCACCACCCTGAGACAGGTTGCAAGCCTTTGGTGGTAAAACTGCCTTTCAGAGTTATCTCAGTGCTCTGGAGAAATGGTCTGAAATCAAAAAGGTGAAATACAATGAAGATAAAAACAAAGTGCTGTATTTAAAAAGGAGAAATCAAATCCTCAAGTATACCTAAGGGAGATTAACTAAGTAGTGTGTGTGTGGGGGAAACTGTCTTGGGGTTTACAGTATGCCATACACAGAATATTGATGTTCTGGGGTCTTTTAGTCTGCTGTATCAAAGAGGGGAACTGTATATAGGATGTAAGGTAGTAATTTGTTCCAGGTAGTGCTGGCAGTGTCTCTAACAGGAATGCTTTTAGGTATTGATACACTGGAGAAAAGAGAAAACTGAGGTAAAGTATTTAGGTTTTTGAATGGCAGGACAGGCTTAAGTGCAGAAAAGATGAGTGACAGTGTTCAGTTGTTCAGTGTTCAGTGACAGGACAGTGAGTATCCTTCATGTCTGTGGCAGGCAGGGTAAGTACTGTGCTGAATTTCACTTTGAAGTAGATCTGGATTTAGTAATAGAAAATCTTCCAAACTATAAGGGCAGTAGTAGTACTGGACCACCCATTGGTCAGTACCAATGTGTGGTACTGACCACCACAACAACACACAAGTTGTCCCACTGGGCAACTTGTGGGACTTTCTTCCAAGGCTATCTTGAACAGGTTAGACTGAAGGATCTCTTTAGCCTTTGTGTGGGGCTGTGAATTTGCCCCAGGGATCCCATAAGCCACATCAATAATCCCTGGCTTTCACTAGACTTCCAGGTCTGGGAAGGAAATATGTGTCAAGCTGCTGTGAGTAGCGAGAGTCTTGGATGCTATGTCAGGCTGTGTGTGGAACTGGCCCTAGTCTGGAGAAGAAGTGATGGCCATAATAGGAACGTCTGAGATCCCTTCTGATATGGTATTTAAGCAGAAATGCTGTATGCAGAGATAGAGTAGACTATTTCAGTTGGAAGGGACCTATAGCAATCATCTAGTCCAACTGCCTGATCACTGCAGGGCTGCCCAAAAGCTAAAGCAAAGTATTAAGGGCATTGTTAAAATACCTCTTAAACCCTCACAGGCTTGGGGCAACGACCACCTCTCTAAGAAGTCTGTTCCAGTGCTTGACCACCCTCTTGGTAAAGAAATACTTCCTAATGTCCAGACTAAACCTCCCATGGTGCAGCTTTGAACCATTCCCACTGATATGATGTTATTGTATACCAAGAAGAAGAGGTCATAGTATCATGAAATCACAGAATGGTTTGTGTTGGAAGGGACCTTAAAGCTCATCCAGTTCCAGCCCCTGCCATGGCAGGGACACCTTCCACTAGAGCAGCTTGTTCCAATCCCTGTCCAACCTGGCCTTGAACACTGCTAGGGATGGGGCAGCCACAGCTTCTCTGGGCAACCTGTGCCAGCATCTCAGCACCCTCATAGATCACTTCCTCAGAAAGGTGTACAGAGCTATGAGGTTGCCCCTCAGCCTCCTTTTCTCCAACCTAGACAAGACCAAGGTCCTTAGACACTCCTCACAGGACATACCTTCCAGCCCTTTCACCAGCTTTGTTGCCCTCCTCTGGACTCACTCGGTTACCTTAATCCTTCTTAAATTGTGGGGGGCAAGGCCTGCACACAGTACTCAAGTGAGGCTGCACCGAGTCTAAATACAGAAGGATGGTCAGCTCTTGCCTGGCTGGTGATATTGTGTTTAACACAGCCCAGGATGTGGCTTGCCCTCTTGGCTGCCAGGGCATGCTGCTGATTCATGCTGAGCCTCCTGTCAACCTGATGGCAATACTGGGGGAGGGTACAAATCTAAGTTTATATGTATGTCTTGTGTGTTTTTATTTAGGTTGGTCAGAAATGTGTAACTATCCCCAGCACCTTAAGCAGAATAAAATCTAGGATCTACAGAAGTATTACTGGTAACTTAGATAAGCATCATTCTTCTCGATGAACCGGCATTGGAAGTGATGTTCTTTGCTGGTTGTGATGCTGTTTGCTGCTAGTTGCCATCTGCCTTGAAATCCAAGATCACACTTCAGAACTTCTGTCAGTAGCTGAATTTGCTGAGATTTTCTGGCTAGACTTCAGTGCATGTCCATTGTTTTTTTGCATATCCAGGCAATCTGCTTCTAAACACAGCTGTACCAGCAGCTGTTGTGCTTCACCTCAGAAGCAATCCTGTTTTAATGAGCAGTGGAGTGATTTCTTTGTATAGAAATCCTTCAGGTGTAGTATGGAATATGTTTTGGTATCCTTCAAGATTAAAGGCACACATTGTGAGTATGTCTATCATAAAAAGAAAAAGAAGAAATGTGTGGAATAATGTAGATATTAATGATGCATATTCCAGGAAGCACTGCATAGAAATGTTAGATGAAAGACACATCTGCTAAGCCTTCTTTTTTGTTTTGTTCTAGCACCATTGTGCCTTGAGCCTTCACATGTAAGGTGAAATCCTCACTTTCACAGAGGAGAAGCAACAGCAGACCTACCCGTCCACGTACATCCACAGAGGAGCCATTTAGTGTTTCATAGTTGTAGTGATGCCCTTCAGAGGTGCAATTTTTCGCATGATAAAATAATGACATGCTTGGAAAGAAGTGATGCCAGTGAAACAGATTGAACTGTGTGGTTTGGTCTAGATTTGTTTGCAGGATCTTCTTACCAATTCTGCTGTGCAGCAAGTTAAAAGGTCTTCCTCTGTTCAGGCTAATTCTAAACTCTGACTGGTATTTTGCAGATAAGAGAGCTGCATCCTTCGCAAGGCCCCCACCAAAACAAGCTGTTGACAAAGCCAAGTGGCTTGAAGAGATTTCCTGAGCCGCAAGGATGGACTGTGACTGTAAGCCACAAGATCCTGACTCACTCTGCCAGAGGAGTTTCCTGGCTGTTACAACCACTGTTGATAACCAGAGGCCAATCTAAAGCTGTGCCAGGATATGTATTTGTGTATGGTTTCAGTACTGAGAAGTAGTAAACTTTGATTTGCACACACCAGCTCCTGCTGCTAGTCATTTTCATGTAAAATGTTGTCTTTACCCTGTGCAGTTCCAGTGAGGTAACACAGTTGTCAAGCAGAACAGAATCTGGCACACCATGTTGACCAAGCTTTGTTTTAAGCTTTCCCTGTATGCCGTCTTCATGTGCTGTCTCTGCATCACGAATATGATTGTCTTTTAGCCAAGTGTAATTGTTCGGTACACAAACAGATGTGAACGCAGTACCTCAATAAAATCTGGCATTTGCTGTGTTGTATTCTTAATGTATTGTTTTCCCTCACCTTTGTTTCCTTAAAAGATTCTCATGGAACCTAAAATTATGTTGATGGAAGAATTTTCCAGCAAAGTAGTGAACTTTTGTAGGGAAGTTTTTGATTTCAGTAGCTGTTTTCATTGGAAACAGCAAACACTGAGATGGGTCGAAATGAACATCCACAAATGTTTTGCAGGTTCTACATCAAAATATGTTGGAATATTGATTTTGAAGCAAGTGTTAAAAATTTTCCAAGAGTATTCCTGTTTAGAGCATTACTTTGTCAATGCTGAAATTTCTTCAGGTAATCAAAGGGTTCTAACTTCACATTTTATTTCTCCAGAAGTCTTGGGAATAATCGGCATTGTCCTAGCTGTTTGAGCTTTCAAGTCTTTCAAGCTTCGCCTTGAACTCATGAGCATTAATGATAAAGGATTTCTTTTTATCTTGTGAGGGGTTTTTAAGATCAGTGATCAAAAGAATTCTAAACTGTTTAACCATGCTATTTATTGTTAAGGCAGATCATCCCTTCCATTTGCAGATGAAACCTTAAAATACATACCTACCACATCAGTATTGTCTCTGGTTATACTTGACTGCTTTAAGACCAGATCCTTATCTGCTGTTTGGGAGTGATACCCTTGTATGTGATAGTGCTTCTTTACAGCTATTTGGTATTCTGCATCAGAAATCCTCTAGTGCTTCCAGTCTGAGATACTCTGAAGTCACATTATTTGTGTGAAATAATACACCAGTGCCTCCAAACTACATGGAGAATGTGGTATATGATCTTTCTATAACTGTTTGCACGTACTATTTCACTAAACTGGGGCTTCTAGAAAATTAAAACCACATTTGATGCACAAAGAAAATCTTTTTATAACAATAAACATAAACCTTATCTTCCAGCCCAGTAACTGCCTTGATTGGGGCTGTCAAAGAGCAGAAGGAAGAGAAATTTATGATTTTTGCCATCTGGTTTCCTTTGAAGATCCCAGCCCTGAAATACCTATTCCAGAGGCATATGCCTAATTTTAAACCACCAATAAAAGACATAGCAAATGAGAAAGAAGAATTAAGTATTTTCAGCTTCATAAATACTTGAACTTTTGTAGTTTTTACATTTTAAAGAAAGGTATTATGAAATAATAAAAGATACTATCCTGTTTTGTATGTTGCAGATGAAGATACCTTTGATTTTTGTCCATTGGGCAATTTCTACATGCTTTATTTCTCAAATGACAAGATTCTTTTTCCCTCAAATATTAGGCTTTTTATTCATTTTGAGTATCTTAAGATACCAGAATAAAAGTAAAACCAGAAGGCAAAATAAGCTTCCAATTCTTTGCCTTTGTCCAGTGCCTGTTTGTTTTCTGGTACTGTGTTAGGAAAATCCATTTTTTTGCACATTTAGCTCAGTATTTTGTAATTGAGGGTTTCTAAATGTCACAAAAAAGTACCTCCCACATTGGTTTGATTAGGGAATTCAGTATGCTGTCCGTAACTGCTTTCTAATGTAATGTGCAGTTGCAACAAGGGTGGCTCCCTGAGCTTAATAGACATAATAAGGTTTAATGTACTTATTAGGCATAGCCCTAAGTTTTGCCCTGGGACCATTTTAAGTTGTTTAAATAAGCGTAGTGAAGCAAATTCAGGGCTGTTCTGCTACTATCAGCCATACAGAAGCTGGTTGAACTCGGAGGAGTTGCTATCAGCATTTTTTGGGCAAAATAAAAATGGGAGATGCATTATGTATGCAACAGGCCTCATGACCTATGGGGTATAGAAAGTGTGCTTTGTCTCTGTGCATTTTTAGATACCAGCAAAGTAGCACAAGCAGCAGCCCCTGATTTGGGACCGGGGTGGGTGGATCTGTCTTTGGAGTCACACTGGCAGAAGTGGCAGCTCAATCCACAGTGTTCTACCTTTCTCATCCCTACCATTCCCTAGATATTTCAATAGTAATAACTAGCTATTTACTTGTAATCTTTAAACTGACTTTGTGTCTAAGCAGAAAATACCTTCTCAATGATCCCTCAATATCAATCAAGTACTTAGTGACTTTAATAATTAGTTATAATTATTTAAGTATAATTCCTGAAAGCTTTGGCCTTTGCAATTTCTAAATTATGGAAGAAAGATCACAGAAAACTCAGTGTCACAGAATGAAAATAATGTCTGTTTGAATTGTTTTCCTAACTGACAAATGCTGGAGAGCATCACAATTGTTCCTTTCTTCAAGTTTTGAAGAACATGAGGCAGGGAAAGCATAAAGATCCAGCTACTTCCTGGGAATACAAATGAGAAGCTTTCACATTTTCACCTCTTGACCTGAAGCTCACACAAATCCCATCTCTCTTAATTTGAGGTATGGAATTCAAAACTTTGTTGAATAGCTTTGGAAGTTATTACAGGAGATGGTCAGAGTTGTAGTCAATTTGTAGGTGTCTGTGGAAGAGCTGCTTGTTCTTTTCTCAGCTATTTGTTTAGAAGCTTAGAAAGTTCGTAAAAAACATATGTAGACTTTATATTTTAACAGATACTAAATAGTTGGATAAAGATCCATTAATATATTGCATTAAAAGCAGAGGACGAGGTAATTCTGCAATGACAAGTCTCAGGAGAGTCAGTTCCCAGCCATATGAAGCTATTTCTGGTTCAAACAAAGAGATCTCTGCTACGCTGAGAAACTGAAACAATTGATAACCTGATCTGAGGAACCACCAACACCAGGATGTGTCTGAGTTCCCACCACCATTTACTTCCGGAGTTGATCAGTGGAAGCAGGTGGTCAACATGACTCTTCTAGTGGTCAACAGGATTATTGCACTTAGCTTCCCTTTTCTGTCATTCTGTTGTTCCTTAGTGACCATGAGGGTGTGGTCTAGAGGCAGAGATAACTAATTTATATATATGTGTGTGTGTGTCTGTAGAGCACATCTGTATAAGGTGCCTTTGTATGGGAAGAATCCATCCAAGTACCTCTGAATCCAGAAGTCCAATGTAATAAAATTTCAATTTCAGGTATGTTATACACTTGCTACTCAGAAACATCTTTTTCGGCTTCTCCATTATTCCTCTGCTTTTTTCAATCTGCATCCTTTAGAAAAACTGTTGAAGATCTTCGCTTTATATGCAGAAGAGAACACTTTGATGGCAACAGCAACACAAAGCATTAAAAAACTTGAAGAGCCTGAAAAGCCTTTCTTTATGTACAGAAGAGTACATTTTGATGGCAACAGCAGCACAAAGTGTTGAAATTGATCAGTGGAAACAGCGTAAGTACAAAGAGCTGCATATAAGCCCCATTTTTGCAGATGATGTTTCAGGATACACCAGCTGAAGTTTCCTACAAAACGCAGCTTCTCCTTCCTCCCTGTTAAAGAGAAGCTGGTAGCAGTAGGGTATTAAGGACCATAATGTTTTTCCTCTGCTCCATCAACTGTGCTGAGTGTTAACAACAGCCGGGTCAGGCAGTGTCACCTAGAGGTTTTGGGAGAAAATGGGTTCTTCAGGCTGTGGGTGGACTTGTGCACAGGGTTAGGGGGTTGTTGATTGGACAGCCATGAGCATCCTGAGCCCTCATTCAGGCAAAATTGGTATCACTTCTAAAAGCGTGTGCAAAATTGTCCCCAGAATTAGAGGGAAACAGTAGGGGAGGGTAGACAGCTGGCTGAAGAACATTATGTGTTGTTAATTCCCATGTTTACTATGGTAATCTGGTTTCCAGTGGTAACACCCTGCAATAACATGGTCCTTTGCCATTATTTACCTCTTTGTTCTCCCTCTTCTTTCACACAGTGTGAAACCCTTCAGATGTTCATGTACTCAGAGCCAAGAGAGTACCAAAATGGCTCTGCAGGTGGCCTTCAGATAGCCATGGGACACGACTCCATCTGGGAAACCAGAAAAACCTTGTGGAAACCAGGCCTCAGGTCAGAGCCATCCCTGTCCAAAGCTATGACTTATTCCAGGGAACAGTGAGATGTTCCTCTTGTTCCTGACGAATGACTACTTGGTTCTGCAAACAAAAGTAAGGTAAATACATTTCCCTTAATGGATGTGCTGCAAAATTGAATCAGTATTTTTTTTCCTAAATGCATCAATGACAGAAATTTCAGTAAATTGAGTCTGCTCTTTTTACAGTGCTGAATCAAAATGTCAAACCAGCACAACTCAGTTATAGGAGAGGAAATAAAGCAACATGCTGAATACCAGCAAGTTATTTAGGAGAAACTTCACTTTGCCAATTCCATAGGTACCTGTGGGAAATGGGAGCAGACAAGAGCATAGATTCAGCTGCAGGAAAATTGACTCAGAGCACCTTGTTTGCAAAGTTTCAGCATTTGATTTTTCACCCCATCTGAGCTTTATAGACTGGTTGCACCCTTTAGTCTGTTACTGGGTTTGCTAATGATGTTTTTTAAGTGCAAAGAAGTGAGGGGAGGGAAAGGAAGAATGAGAATTCATGCAATTTGGCTTTTTAAAGAAGTAAAGGAACTTGTTACTGTTTCAGTGCAGTATTGTTTTGCATTTTGACATTCCTAAAAAAGATCTTTCACCCAAAATCATTTCTACAAAGGAAACAATATTGTAGCTGAATCATTTTCCTTTGCATTTTTAAGCAGAGATAAGTACCTTATTTCTTATTTTAATGATGCTGAGAGGTAAAGTGCAGTGACTTTAAGGTCACATGAGGTTGCATCTAAGTGCTTCATATTGAATGAAAAGCCAGATATTTCCAGTGAAATAAATGGCTTTATTTATGACAAAGGCAGCGAATTCAGGCTCTCTTCACAATTAATGGGAGACATCAAGTAACTCCAATAAATACATTTGGTATTCATGCAGTACACTGGGTTTTAAAAGTAATGATAATACTTTGAGCCACAGTTGAGAAATCAATTGCTAAAGTTATTGTCTCTAATGACTACAGGTACAGAGTACCTCTGAGTAATATGATTCTTTTAAAGGGCAAGTTACTAGATCCTGTAATTTGTCAATATTTCT